TTTTGGGGCTAAATAAATAAAATCTGACTCATCATCATCAGGATGTCCAAGCAATGCAGCCTAAAACCATAGTTCCTTCTACTGTAGATCTGATCCCTACCCTGAGTATCTTGAGCTTCAATAACAAAGAAGCACTAACATAGCCAGAGTCTGTTGGTATGACTGTTGGGTCCACGGTCCAGTCCATCTGATCATCCACCTTGAATTGCAGTTCAGCTGAAATCACAGTGGACTTTTGATCTTCTTTTCTCTGGGGTGAGCCTGCAGGCAGTCAGAGCCCATGGGTCAAAGGTCAAATCTGGATCCAGCCTTAACTTGCCTCCTCTGGACAAGTTCAATGAACCGCTCTTTGTCTGGTATTTCATATGGAACCATTTTATCATGGTGACTTTACCATGAACTGGTTCTGGACACAGCACAACAGGAAACCCCTCCACTACAATACTGTGGTTAAGTACTAGAAGGTTAATCTCGATTTCTGAAAAGAACGTATTCTTACAGCACCTCTCTCTGTCTGTTCCAGGTTAACGAGATCTATCAGGACCATTCTCTGGGCGCCAACATCAACGTTGTTCTGGTCAGAATCATCATGTTGTCGCCAGCCAAAGCGTACTAAACTGTGACTCTGTTTCAAAGCTACTGAAGGTTTCTGGTCAGGGAACTTTACTGTGTGAATGAACTAAAGTTGTTTTTGTGTGTTGTACTTGTCCTCAGGGAAGAGGTTTTCTGTAAATGCAGTTTTTCCTTGCCCCCGCTTGTTTCCTTGGCCCCCGCTCGGCCAAGTGCTTGCCTCATGGTCGGTACTGTTGGGTCTCTGCCGCGTAAATGTTATAAGGAGTTCGGTCTTAGACCTAGCTCTATTTGAAAAAGCTGTTCCTTGGGGAGATTAACTTCTGTTCATGACGATTGGCGCTATACAGAATAAAATTGGAAATTGAATTGAATTGAACTTAAATCGGTTGTGGTAATACTTTAGCTGGCCTCATCTACTGCGACTGTGTTGTTATAGGCTCAGTTTTTTGCTCTTTCAGTTTAAGCCAACTTAAGTGTTAGCCAAGGTCAACAGTTTAGCTTTGGTGTACTTCCCAGCAGAAAAACAACATCGTATACTGTTAATCCTGCATTTTATATAACTAGCCTTTGTGACTCCTCTTGCTTAGAACAGAGGTTGGGGGAGGTGTTGCCTGCTTTTTTTTTTTGAACAGGAACAATTTTTAGCACAATCAGCTTTCCCTTCTTTGGTTATCAGGGCCTCGCTGGTCAGGTGGGGGCGGCTGGTGTATATCAAGCAGACAATGAACATTTCGGTCGCTCAGGCAGTTTGATGTGTTAGAAAGGCAGGCAAAAAATGGGCAGCTCTTCTGAGGATCTGAGCCACTTTGACAAGAACCACATTGTGATGGACAACTGGGTCAGAACATCTCCAAACCTGCAGCTCTTGTGGGGTGTTCCCAGTCTGCAAGTCCCCCAAGGCTTAATTGTATTCATTTTCTGTCAACAAACAGCGTAAACAAACTATAGCTAGCTAATGGTTAGCTGTTGACAAGTTGGTGAATGCATGGGAAAATGTAGCTTGTGTGGACAGTACTACACTATACTTACGTTTCAGTGGTTTATTTAAAAAAGTAGCAATTGTTGTGCGAACAAGGAATCCCCAGGGAATCCGTAAAACCCCACATGCAAGTTTAAACGCAATAAAATCTTAATCTCCCTCTATCAGTCCCTGGAGATGATCTCTGTGGGTAATGCCCAGAAGAGTTTGGAGAACGTTTGTGGATGGTCGTATCTCCAGCAGAGGGAGCAGAGTCACGCCGAGCAGCACGACCACACCATCTACCTGACCAGGCAGGAGTTCGGCCCCTCCGGCATGCAGGGTACTTCTGCTAATACCTCCACTAATACTACAAGTACTACTACTAACACCATCCATCTGACCAGAGAGTCCAGCACCTCCAGCATGCAGGGTACTGCTGCTGATATGACCACAAACACTACAAATACTACTAGTAACACCATCTACCTGTCCAGGAAGCAGTTTGGCTGCTTGGGTATACACGGTACAACTCCTAATAGTTTTACTAATAATAAAAGTGCTACTATTTACCCTGTGTACTCAACTAGGTGGGAGTTTGGCCTCTCTGGTATGTAAGGTACAATTGCTAATACTACTACCAACACCACTTAATCTACAACTCAATCTACCTGTCCAGGAAAGAGTTTGACAGGTTGCACTAATAATACAAATGCTACTGCTAACATCATTTACATTACTAGATAGAGGTTGACATCTCCTGCAAGTGAGGTACAACTGCTAATACTACCATTAATACTACAAGTACTATTACTAAAACGATCTACCTGACAAGGCAGGAGTTTCACCTATCCGGCATGCAGGGTACTACCACTACTACAGCAAATACTACTAACACCACCTGCCTGACGAGGTCCTGACCTCGGACCTGTTGCTCTGTCTCTGCAGGTTATGCTCCAGTTAAAGGAATGTGTCATTTGCATCGGAGTTGCGTCCTCGTTTTTGAGGACGGTTTTTCCTCTGCCTTTGTAGCTGCCCATGAAACAGGACACGTGTGAGACACACAAACACAAACACTACATAAATAAATGCACATTTATTGGCAGTATTAGTACCAATTCAAAATTCAACAAAAAGAGTAACGACTCTCGGGTGAAAAGATGATAGACTGTATCAGCAAGAACTGACTCCCAGGTGTCCATCTGAAGACAATAATTGATTTGTCTGTCCGTCTGTCTGTCTGACTGCCTGTGTTTCTGTATATCTGTCTGTCTGTCTGTCTCAGCTTAGGGATGGAGCATGACGGTGAGGCCAATGATTGTGCTGATGACGTGCCGTTGGGCAGCATCATGTCTCCGCGGGTTCAGGCCACCTTCCATCGATACCACTGGTCTCGATGCAGCTGGAGGGAGCTGCACCAGTACCTGCAGTCAGTACTACTACTACAACTACTACTAGTAGTACTACTAGAATACTTACTGTTGTGTGAATATATTTGCCCTAATTCCACATCAGGCATCCCCCCAACACAACGCATGTCAACCAAAACCTGTCTGTCTGTCTGTCTGTCTGTCTGTATGTTTCCCTGTCTATCTCTTCAGTACCTATGACTGTCTCCGTGATGACCCGTTCAACCATGATTGGCCGGCTCTGCCTCAGCTGCCAGGGTTTCAGTACTCTATGGATCAACAGTGTCGCTTTGACTTCGGACCAGGATACAGTCTCTGTACTGTAGTAAGTCTGTCTGTCTGTACCCAGACCATCTGATGATAGGTGACCTTTGTCCTCTTTCAAACCTTTATAGTTTTTAGTAACACAACCAGCATCATTCAGTAACTGCTTGAAGATTGAATTGATGTGTTTTCGTTACCTTAGAATGGGACTACACTACTAGATGCCACTAAATCCTGGTGACCAGGGCCTGAATTGGACCAAAAAAGGGTGCCAGTACCTAAATTCAGCACAACCCTAAACACAACATAACCCTAATTCTTTTGCCATTCTCGCAAAAAACACAGGTTTGCTGACCTTGGTGGTGGGTATGGCCATGCTCACCAGTGAGAGGCTCCAGATAGCTTGCAACACAGAACCATTTGGGAAATCGCTGTTGGAAAATGCAGGCTCTTTGAAAAAAACAACTCTCCAGGTGATTGGATAAACCATCTGTCTATCACCGTCCAGTCGGATCAATGAATCATATAACGTAGTCAAAGAAGAGAAAAAAGCCTTCAGTGTCGTTCTTTGTTCTTCTTTCAAAATGAAATACTCTGCAGCTGTGGCTCAGAGGCAGAGCGGGTCGTCCCCTAATTGGAAGGTTGTTGGTTCGATCCCCGGCTCCTCCTGCCACATGTCGAAGTATCGAACCCAAAGAATTTGCTCCCAAATGCTGTGCATGGTGTGTTAGAATGGTTTATGAATGAGTTTTAGTTTCTGTTCGATGGACTTTGCCATCACTGAGTGAATGTGTGTGAAAGGGTGAATGGTGGCACGTAGTGTAAAAGCGCTCATTGAGGTGTTTCGGGAAGACTAGAAAGGCGCTATACAAGTACAGGTCCATTTACCATTTACCATCCAGTTCTGAGGAACTGATTGCTAACAGGACAGATGCGCTAACCTCTTTAGCTGCCACCATTGTTGTTTATCTATCTTCTGGCTTCACCTACGCTGGTATTGCCAGTACTACAGAGGATGCTGATTAGTCTGGTACCACTGTAATTTGGTCACACAGATTAAAGACTGGCAAGATAGATTCTCTCGTGATCTTGCAAGTCCAGCTTCCTCTCAAGAATAACGCACTGGATAACATATAAAAATAAACTCTAAAAACCACACAGAGGACAAGATGAGGAAACTATTTAAGTGAGTAGATGAAAGATCCTCCAAATGGAACAATTTAAATTGAAACCGGAGTTAAAGGCGTTCTGAGACTGATGTGTGCAGATGTGACCTGCTGACGTGTTTTTGGGTTGGAGGCCAGCACCACATCTGTTCAGGATGTTAACTGTTTGATGATATCACACATTAAGCTTCCCCAGGAGGACGATGTACACGAGCACATTAGATCAAATGTATCAGCAGTCTTTAATCTGAGGGCGTCTCTATTTCCAACATTTCAACATGATGATGAAATTATTTGTTCTGTCACAGGTCCTGTTTTGTTGAACAGATCCATGTTTCACAGTTTCTTTCAGGTTTGGTTCTGATTGTTTTTATTTTGGCTCAGATGGAAGAAGTCAGAATCTGAGGTTTTATGAGGATTTTTGAGTGAACACTGTCTCTCACTGTGTTTTGTGCTGTTGTTTATGGTCTGTTTTGTATATATATATTTTGACATATTCTACATATCTTTATGTGTCTCCAGTACACAACACTTGAGCCCTGTAAACAGCTGTGGTGCAGCGACTACAACAACCCGTTCTACTGTAAGACCAAGAAAGGTCCACCACTCGACGGGACAAAGTGTGGACCGGGGAAGGTGAGGACACATTCAGAGTAATGTTTAGCTGTGTAAAACTAACTGCCTTAGCTAGTTAGCTACTTTTAGCAACTATCCATGTGGAAACTCCATAAATAACCTCAGTACCACTGTCGTCAAACTGTCCTCTATCTGTTTTAGAGGTTGTGTTCGATCCCGGTCTGACCGTGTTCACTGGGAGACTGCTGAGCCCGCTTCCATTGCACGCTAACAGAAGCTACATTAGCAGTTAGCTCACAGCAGCTACATTAGTACTTAGCGGAGTTGAGGCAGGCGGAGGACCTCAGAGTGAAAACCAAACAATATTTTCTCCATAAAGTATGATCCAGTTTCAGCCAAAATCACTGATAAAGCTGTATTTTTGAACAGTAATAAAGTTGTCTGTTTATGCTAAGCTAGGCTAACCACATCCTGAGCCAAGCTCCATTCTGAACTTTCTTGCGTCTCCATGGTAACTGTGTGTCGTTACAGCACTGTTTTAAGGGTTTTTGCATGAGGTTGACCCCTGACATGCTGAGACAAGATGGCGGCTGGGCAACCTGGAGTCCGTTCGGCAGCTGCTCCAGGACCTGTGGGGGCGGGGTCAGGTTTCGGGCCAGGCGCTGTGACAACCCAGCGTGAGTGAGCCACCAATCATCTGTGATAACACACATCCGACACACTAGAGAAACTAACCTGTTGTTGTTCTCAGTCCAGCCAATGGGGGGCGTACCTGCTTCGGAAACAGTTACGAGTTCCAGCTGTGCAGTCAAGAAGAGTGTCCACCACTGACTGACTTCAGGTCAGTAGATCTACTGTTTATTCTGATATCTGTGTCCACTGACTGACTTCAGTGTTAAGTTAATTTCAGTTGTGTTGCATTGCTGTGGATCTCTTGTGTATCTCAGCAGTCAATATATGTTTGTGTTTCTGTGCAGGTTGATTGGTTGTTTTTCTCTTTCAGGGAGGATCAGTGTAAAGTCTGGAATCCATTTTATGAACACGAAGGACGCAAACATCACTGGCTGCCGTACCAACACCCTGACCGTAAATACACACTTTATGTACAGACATTATATACACACACCCTGAGCAAAGTGGAAACTTTAATCTAATCTTCAAGTTCAGAAAAAAATGTATGTGTGTGTGTGTGTGTGTGTGTGTGTTCACATGTTAAGCTCATCAGCCAGGAATCTGTTATTGGAAGGAAACTTGTGGCCTCTCCTCCTTTAACCCCTCAAAGTCTGAAAATATTTTCATTTCCGTCTCTTCAAACTTTTAATTTTCCACCTTAAATGTTCCACCTTAAATGTTCCACCTTAAATGTTTCACCTTAAATGTTCCACCCTCAGAAGCTGGGATATAATAATGTTTATATAATATGTCCATCATAATGTTTGTGTGTGTTTGCAGCTGATGAGCACTGTCGTCTGTACTGTCAGTCGAAGGAAACGGGCGCGGTGGTTTCCATGAACAGAATGGTGCATGATGGGACGCCATGTTCCTACAGTGATGCCCACAGCGTCTGCGTCCGAGGAGAGTGTGAGGTCTTTATTCTCAACTTCTTCTGTGTTGTTATGCTGACGTCATTTTAATGGTACTAAAAGTTAAACTACAGTAAAATATTAAATGTGAATAAAATATGAAATATGTTTCTTCTTATAACAGCTGCTCCTGAAACATCTCTCTGTCTAGTTACTTACTGTGAAATTATCTTTGTTTCCTTTTATTTATTTTATTTTATATGACTTCCAGCTAATCTAAAAATGGTCAAAGAGGTGGCGCTGAATGAAGCCTGGTTACTGTCTTTGTGGTCGTCTCCATGTTGGTGTTTAGCAGCTAGCGGAGGTCACGTACAGCGAGTTGAGCTGTTCTCATTGGCTGCCCTTGGTTTGGAAACAATGGCGGCTCTCCTGCTCACACAGGACCTGGTATTCCAGTCCACGATAAACAGTAAAAAATGTGTTTGTGAAACAGATTTGATGGAAGAGAAATAAGTCAACAATCAGAATCTGGATCCAGATCTGTCTGAGCACTGTTTGACATTTGATCTGGAGTTTGGTGCGTTGACTGTACGGACTCACTGAGAATGAGCTGCTCAATCACAAGGTAGCCCCGCCCTAAAGCATTACCCTGCTTATGGTCTGATTTGACTTAAATGGGACCATCAGTTATAACATGAACATCATGCTGTAGGAAGAAAGACTGAAACTAAGAGACTGAGACCAGAAACTCATCAGGGAAAACTGTTCCATACAGTGGAGCTGTTGATGCCTGGACGTCATTCTCGCATTGTAGAAAAGTTGTAATGTTTCTGCATCACTTATTTCATTACTGAAACCGATGTTGAGAAGCAAT